TCACGAGACGATTTTTTGAGCGAGTTTTGACACCCCCTCCTGAGAAAAAGTTCCTTGATCTGCCCTTATAAATGATATAGCATTTTCCACGATTTTTAACTTGCGTGTACAGTACAGAGAATTTTATACCCAATATTGTTCTAACGGATGTTACACGTTAGAGAGAAAGAGAGAGAGAGTATTCAATTTGAAAAAAGTAAATAACTATTTATTCATAATTGTTTGTTTGTTGTTTGTTCCATTTTACTCGTATTGATAGATAATTTCAAGTTGTGTTATCGAGTTTAACTGCTTATTATTTCAGGTTTATTCTGTATATATTTAGGTACTTAAAAATAAACAAAACAAGTGCAACTATGTTTTTCTTCCAAATTTGCATTTTTTCTTTCAAATTTATGACTTAAAACAATAATTATTTATAAATATCATTATGGCTGTTTATATCTGTTATATGGTTTTGAAACGTACTGACCAATCAATGTGTTCTCAAATGCTTTACTATCGGAGATATGCACAAGTCGATATCCAAACCAAAAAATCACTCAAGTGTAACGAGCGCATGGGGGTACATATCGTTCAATAAGTACAAGTTATCTGAGAGAAATATGCCCGAATACGGCTATAGTTGGTATGAAACAATGCGTATACATAGATGAAAATGTTGCGTTTTTAAGAATTCATGTCAGCTTTAATCTTGTGGTCCCAACCAACTCCATTAATTTTGAATTTACACAAATAAAACAAATTTTCTTTTCTGATCCTGTTTTTAATGCGAAGAAGATTTATGAAAGTTATTTATGCCACCAAATTATCACTTTTTTTTCATTATTTCTCTATGGAATATATGTTGCTATTCATGTGGACATATCCTCTATACCCAATTATGCTTTACCGGTATTTCAAGTTTGGTTGAAATTTCCAAGTCGAAAATGTGAATAGTTTACAGATGGACAATCAGACAGGTGAGCTAGACGGACGCCAGACAACTCAGAAAAGCACACTCAAGCTAATGTTTTAAGTGAGCTATAAGAAAAATACATTTTCTTCTGCGCAATTGCTAAGAAAACGTTCATGAAAAACAAATTGCTTCCTATTTTCACACTTGCTTTCAAATTTCTTTCTTAAATCCATGGCACTTGGTCTACGAACAATTGAGCCATACAGCGGATCCAAAACTTTACACTTACTTTAAACATTATCATTCCTATTTAACTGACTTTTTGCTTTTGTTGTCGGCTTTGTTCAATAAATAATTATTCCGTGTGATAATTATATCTCTCCTTCTTTGGTTGCTATTTTTTTCCTTCAAATTGGTAAATGCACAAAACCAAGATATATGTCACAAATATCCCCTGCCCATCATTCTTATTTTGAAGATATGAGAGAAGTTATGAGAACAAGCTTACAAGGAACTCAAAATTGTGAAAATATTAGTTTCATCCTTTTTTTCATCTTTCGTGAAAAGTTTTGTCAAACTCATTTATAACAAAGTTTAGTTTCAAAAATAATACTAAAAAGACAAGGAAGGAAATTATTTTACGTCTGCTCATTGTACGAGCGGTGTTCCAAAATTAATGACACTACGCTGTTTTCATCCACATTTTTTATCTTTGATCCTTTTATTCATCCCTGCCCTTTAAAGTACTTACCCTTGGCCTGGATACAGTTTTTTTAAACGATCAATCCAATTCTGGAAACATTTTTCATACTCTTTAATAGGGACACCCATCATATACTGATAAATTGCAAACCCAAGAACTTTTCGTGATTTGTATCTTTTTACAGATTAAGTTAAGGGAACAGAAAGAAGTCGCAAGGGGCTAAGTCTGGAGAAAATGGGAGGTGTGGTAGGACAGTGACCTTTCTCGGTCACAGTGTGTGCTTTGTGTGCAAAGTCGGAGACACTTCATACCCGTTTTGGGGCGCCGACTTTCGTAATATTTCTTCAGTTTTTTAATAACAACATTTTCATAGACGTTACCTGTGACTGTTTTGCCATTTTGCATGACAGCGCCTTTATTGTCAAAGAAAATAACATATAAACTTTCTTTACGGTTCGTAATCTTTTTGCAATACCAGATTCTGTTAGAGCTCTTACGTTTTGGCTCAAAATAGTATATCCAGGTCTCATCACCAGTAACTATATTATCAAAAAGTCTTTTGGTATATTTTGGATACAATTTTAATAATTTCTTCGCATATTCAAAACGGACTCTCTTTAATTTGTTCATCGCTAACCAAATGAGGTATACCGGCCTTGCGTTTTATCTTTCTAAGCTTCAGATTTTTTTTTTCAAAATACCATTAACATGTGCTAAAGACAAGTTTGTTATCCGAACCAATTGCCTCACGGTACATCTTGCGCCTTTCTGTAAGATTTGGTGGATTTTTACGATGTTATTGTTGGTTGTAACTGTTGCAGGGCGGAGCAGCATAGCAGCATCTTTGAGGTGTTGGTAACCTGTTTTAAATTTAACATCCCACCTACAAACAGACCTATGAGAAATTTGACCATTCCCATTCCCATAGATATCACATACCTCACGATGAATATCTACGGGTTTAACGCCAAGTAAGGGCCTACCTTTTATATAGGTCCTAATTTCAAGTGCATTGTTTACTCTTTTTCCAGTCATCGTATAGTGTAATGAATACGCTATAAAGCAATGTACACTGTAGCAAAGTCAGTGAAATTGTGAACATGAAATTTTCTTCCGCTACGGTTCAGTTAATAATCTAACGTGTCAATGGTTTCAGTAAGATATTTACACGATTTTCGAGCGAAGAATGTGAAATGACATTATTTTTGGAACACTTGTCGTATGTCCTTATGATGCGAATCGTGTTAAACCCTGACCCATTTAAAACTTTGAATTTTTTTGTGATGGCTCAAGTTTTTTTTTCTATTTTTTTTTACCTTTATCTTTTTTTATCTGCTATGGGTGATTCCAGACGGCTATTTTTTTAAAATATGTTTTGCTTTGAATGCTCGTCCAAATAAGAAAGAAATGAGATGCCTTCGGTTCAGTTGTTGCAATTGTTCTTATTTTAGAATTTATTTAAAATTCTTCTGGTATTTAAATTGCTCTTGGAAAATTAAAGATTTCAAATGCAGTAGCGATTAAAATGAAGTATATAAGAATTGTTTGGACAAATAAGTAGCATCCAAAACACGAAAGTATCTATGCACCCACAAATCAATATCTATACCAGACTGGCCTTATTCTTAGGGAAAAGATCGGCTTCAGTGTTTCGGGTCTGTTTCTGACCCGAGTACTCATGTGGAAAACTAAGATCGCACGATGCATCTGCAGCATTTGTCTACGGCATTCATTTAGAAATGCTTCCCTAGACGGCCAGTGTAAGGTTTATGATTCAAATGTTCTACAAAATACACCATTGTAGATAAATTGTCTAAGCGACATCACTCGTGCAACTTGCAATTGTCTCGACAGGACATAAAAATATTCACAGCTTTAAAATAACAAAGTTTTTTAATTGTAAACATACGGAGTTTTAATTTGAAAAAGCATCACTATACTTCAAAGAACCTTCTTTAAGAAAGCAACACCTTTCACATGTCTTTAAAATCTAATCAAACGTACGGTTTCTTAAGATAAGAATAATTATGCTTGTTTTAAGAGAGACACAAAAAAGTAAGAGTTTATAATGTAGCCCCGCATCTACCTAAAGTATTGAGGAGTCGGGTCAATCTAGATTACCAGGTACTACCCCTAACAAAAATTGACTATAGTTTACTGTAGTTATCTACAGTTTACTAAAGTTAACTAAAGATTACTATAGCTATCTGTAGTAAATTGATACTTTTGATTTACTGTGAAACTTTATGCAAGATTTGGGGTTCGGGGGATTGGAAGCTAATAAATCTTTTAAATTTGATAATAATGATTGAAAACTTGAAAATCATATCTGAATATACAAGTAACATTTCCAATCAATATCAAAAATGTGCATGTATGAATTTGAGAACATAAAATATAACAATCTGAAATCCATAGTAAAAATACTTTGATTTACTTAAGTAAAAACGTTGATTTACTGTGATAAAAACTTTGTTACTATAGTTAATAAACTATAGTAAATTATATTAGTTTTTTGTTAGGGTTTTTGATATTTTCGCGAATATTTTAATGTCGAAGAAAAAAATGCCCTCTCTTGTATTCTATAAAAAAAATTAATTTTACATAGAGTATTTCAATATTTATACAGATCACCCGAATTACTGATTTTGATTTCAAATTATAAATGTTTCATTTGTCTAAAAGTTTAAAAATCGGACTGTTACTGATGGTAGCTATTTAATATGCTGATTAAAGTTTAAAACTAATTAAAATAAACTTTTAAAAAATCTTCAAATACAATTGTATAACAAGCATTCTGAGAGTATTGCATTAGCAATACTAGTCCCCTACCGGCAAGTGTAATCTGGTTCCCGTTAAGAATTGAAAATGCCATAATTCTGTCAAAAATCAATGAAGTGGAACGAAATGCAAACTTGATCTTTAACTAAGTAAGGTAAAGTCACATACCAAAAATCAGCTCAATATCTGAAAGTGTTTAGAAGAAAATTGCGGAAAACCCTTAAAAATTGAAATGGCCGTAATTCCGTCAAAAATCAATGAAGCGGAACGAAATGCAAACTTGATCTGTAACTCATCATAATTCACTCACATACCAAAATTCAGCTCAATATCTGCAAGCGTTTAGGAAAAAAGTGCGGAAAACCAAGTGGGACAGACAGACAGACAGACGGACAGACGGACGGACAGACTCAGAGGAAACCTATAGTCCCCTCCGGTTTCACCGGTAGGGGACTAACAAGAAAGGCATTCTAGTGTTCCCAGAACAATGTTTTATTTTGAAAATTATACAAGAGATACTAGTAAAGTTTCAAAAAGCAACGAATAATGATAATCACTCAATATACTGACATGAATGCATTTATGTGACTTATGTTAGCCTTCTAGCTGACCCATCTCCTAATTCTGAAAGGTAGCCCTGTATTTCATATCATATTCCTTCTTCTTTTCTGGCATTTTAAGATAAAAAAACATTTTGCTGGCCATGCCGGAAATGTTTGGGAATTCTTCACATTGTTTTTCTATGTCACTCATATAATCCATCAAGGGATATCTGCGTAATTCTAATCGTGAAGCAAAGAACATTTGCATGTAGTAGTGATTTAGTCTTTCCTTTAGTACACGAGTCTGTAAAATAATTTCTGCTTTCAATGCTTCATCTTCGATGGTACTCACATCTAAAAAGTCTTGTTCGACTGCATGCTTTAAACAGCGTATGGCTGATTCGACAGCAGATAGACTTAACGTGACGTTTCTTTTGTCATACTCTGCAATACTGTATTCATATAGGAAGTTTGCTATTGATGTAAAATCTACAGCTTTGTCGCACGGGATTTGTAACCAACTGATTAAATCATCTATTCTCCAGGGTATGAGGTTTTCTAGTAGTAAAACACCCTCTGGTTTTTGTTTAGCCGCCAAATTACCTCCAAGTTCTCGGTCAGACGCTTTTGCTAGTATGATTCGAGATGATCGTTGATCAATTTGGTCGATTATTCCTTCAATAAAATCTAAAAAGTTTGGAGGATTGGCCTCAGAATCTGGTAAAAGAAGCAGAAGTTCATATGTGTCTTTTAGGAGTTGGGATACTGTTTCATAATGTCCCATCCTTGAGAGAACCTTTGCGGTGCGTATGGATATTGGAATAAACGTATTTTCAACGGTGGCTCTTAATTTCATAGTTTGCACAAAAGTTGGAATATCTGAAAGAACGATTCTTACCAAATTTGCTCCATACATATGTCCATGTTTTTCAGCAACAAATTGTATTATGTTTGCTGGAAATAAACGAAGCGATTCTATGCAGATACACAAAGCGTTTATGTCGTTGTCTGAAAAACAGTCAATCAGGTTATTAGTAGGAATGAAATAATGGGGTAGAAACCTTGTTTTCAAGTTGGATATCAGTTTACTGATGACATACAATACACAGCCACTAAAGCAAGTGTCCCAAGCGCTAGAAGGCATTTCCTCGCATGAACGTAAAAAGACGGCTCTTAAATGCTTAACTTTCAGTGATTGATTGAGGTGAAAGGTAATATTTTCGAGTAACACCTTCAGTATAAAATACCCATACTGCTGTGTCTCCGTAAGGTTTTCCATGATTATGAACTTTGCCATGGAAAAATTGTATTTCCATTCTATCGTAGGATTTTTACTTTTTGGGTGAGGTTTCGGAATTAACGTGCAACCTCTCTGTAAAATACGATAAACGAGATCAGGAGACGGAAAATCATAGTTTCTTTTCCGCTCTTTCCATTCACATGTCGGAAATGGGCAACAAATACCTACATACTGTATTTCTGATCGACGAAAATTAGGTAGAGATTTAAGACTTTCTGGAATGTCGTATGCTTGAAGATAAATACTTGAACCAGTTTGAAAAATATAATCCTCTTTGCATGTTGCTTGACATTTTGGAAGTTTAAGTCTGCAGTAGCCAGGGTGGGTGTCTGATGACTCCACATACACATGTGATGAAAATTGTTCGAACGCTTGATCTGCATGCCCGATAGTTTTGTCTCTTCTTATAATAACAACTTTTGGCATTTTTCTATAACGTTTATTGTAGAACGATTGCATTTTCTGCGATCTGGTTATGTCTCTTAATGTAAAATAGCATGGATTACACCAAGGGCCTCTAAAGTGATAAAATATCCTCTGATCGTCCCTTAAACAGAAGAGACGACCATCTGCTGTGTTGTAAGTCTCTTTTAGTGTTTTAGGTAAGAGAATTTTCATTATGAACGATAAATGCGTTAATGGAACCCCTGTGAGAGGATCGATATGCATTTCATCCTCTATTAGACCTTGGATCGACTCTGAAGAAAAGTTTACATGCATTAAGATGTATATTTTTAGATGAATGTTTTAATAAATCAAAAAGATATAATTTATAAAGTAACATTTTGTGCAATTTTTGGTAGAGAATTATTAATCGTCAGTTCAAATTATATTAGATTAAAGCACACGCTAACCCTTTTAGCTATTTTTTTATGAAACATATACCTTCAGTTTCTTCTAACTGTAGGTCGACTGGATGGTATGATCGAAAGTTCATTGTGCTTTTGCCGCTGCTCTCATTGCTTTTTTCATCCAAAGTTTCCTCCCCAGTTTCATTTTCACGTATGCTATGAACTGCAAAACCAGCAACACCGTTTAGTGTTGTTTCGGGTATGAATCTTTCATCGCACTTACTTGTAACCTTTTCTATTATAAGATGTTTCTTTGTCTTGGTATCTAAGCCTTTTGAACAAGCTAGGATCCTTAGTATCAATGCTTCTGAAATGGAAAAACATGATAAATGTTTAAAATATACTAAAGAATCGTTTTAAACAATTGTGTTACGAATAACAGAACACTACTAAGGAATATTACTATATGGCCAGTGCCTTTGCCATAGTTTTGGACGCAAACTCAAATAATGGAACTCTCCAAGGTGACCAAGAAATATTGTCAAACGATTTTGATCATGCTTGTTCATTTTTCCTTTGACTTCGGTCCGGTATATGTCGTCATGGTACACGTTGAAGACGATGACTTCAAGGAATAGCGAGTCAGCTACAGCCTGTAAAATAATGTGGTCGCTCCATTCACCAGACTTCGACATTCTTTTAAGATATTCTTCCCATTTTTCTTCTGATAAAAATGAAGAAGGATGACCTTTGTCTTCTTGGAAAGGATACTGTCTCAGATATCTAGGAAATTAAGCAAAAAGAAATGTGCTAAAAGTGATTTACAATAGAAATTAATATGTATTTCTTTATAAAATATTTTTAATTAACCACGGGTAAAATGTGCAAGGTTTTGAAAATACTCGACAATGACCAGTGCCTATTTTTAACGGTCAAGATCTACCTTTTGGGATTCTAAATGGAATTATACTCATTAATAATTTCAATTTTTTACGAAACTTACTCTATTGCTGTATGTCTGAGAGATTCTGCTGTATGCCCAAGGCATCCATTTATTAGCAACTGATCAGCTATAGCTCGAAACATACAGTTCCCATCGGAAACAACATCTTTTACCTCAAAACTGTTATCAACTGCAAACTTTCTCAAAGACTTTTGAAAGACTGGCATGTTCACGTATTGTTCTACACCTTTACCTATAATTTATAATGGTTGTTATATATCACCAAATTAAAGACCTGAGAGTTAATAAAGTAATCATTGAACTGAATTCATTTCATGGATGTGGATCATTTTGTATTTAATCATATATATCATATATATGATATAATTATATGAAATAATCACATATATGATACGGAAAGTAAATCTTACTGAATCTTCCATTATTTCTTGTGTCCATAGAAGGAGAAAGATATTCTTCTTCATATGCATCTAAATAAAAGTTGTCCTCCATTGTCGAGGTATGATTCTCCCAGTATTCGTCCTCACTGTCAAAATAATCTGTTTTGTCGTTGTCCTCAATTATACTGTTTTGATACACTGGAATATTTCCTGAGTTCCAATCCATGTGTTTTGACGTTTCAATTAAATGGTTATCGAAGATTTCTTCAAAAACATTTTCTTCGCTATCACATTCAAACAATTCTCTTTGGGTCCAAATACCACAGAGGGAGTTTTTAAATATCGTTTTCTCAATCAGTTGTGTTAAATTCTTCGAAGACATTTGTACTGATATATTTTTCTACTCTTCTGATGAAATATCATACATGCCTTAAAAGAAAACAAAGTAATAAAATAAATATTGTAAAGAAATGAAAGCCTCTAGAAAGGAATGGCCGTTTTGGCACTAAAAATATCCAAACTATTCACAAGTTTATAAAAATTATTGAAATTTCAATTTTGATCTACGGACGGAATTCTTTATTTGTAGTACTAATCCAGGAAATAACACTGGTATTAAAAAAAGGCAATATGTTAACAATCCCTTTTTGTTTAGAAAAAAGATGATTCATTATACATACATACATACATACATACATACATACATACATACATACATATATATATATATATAGAGAGAGAGAGAGAGAGAGAGAGAGATTTGCGTTTGTGTTGTAAATTCAATCATTTAATGCTTTTGCTCTACTATTTTAAATCTAAATGTCCTTGTGAATCTTTTAGACAGACCGACGAAGGAACAGAGAAGGGTCTAAGATGAAGCAACATACTTTCCTCGAAACCTGTCAGTTGTAATAAGAGGTGTCCTTTTTCTTCCACTGCTGTTTTATACATACCCGCCGGCACTTAAGCCTTAACTGTATAACCCTCCTTTAACTTTATGATAAAGACTTTTCATTCTTGTCCTTTTATTTTATGCTCTAGAGAGTATTTCAGTTACAACTCAATTGAACAAAAAAATATCGCCGTCAACTATATCCAAAATTTCAAGTCAAATTGTCTCTTAATGACTCATAAGAATGTTTAGAGTTTGCAAGCTTTTCAGTGTTTGTTTTGAAATGGAAGGATTTTTTTAGGGGGTCTTTTTTTTGTTTAAATTTTTAGAAACACAACAGAGAATAACTGTATTGTTACGAACCCATCAGTAGAATTAAGTACTTAGGACGCAATTTAACAAAAATATAATAAATATTCCTTTCAGCATCCCCCAAAGAAACAATTATAGATAAACTAATATTAAAATGAAATTCAAACTTTTTTGTTCTTTAACAATTAAAAATTTCTATCCTACTTATTTTACAAATACTTCATTTTAAAAAAAATACAGTCTTCAGAATAAAAATGAACTTATAAATGTACATGATACTATTACATTAACTTTTAATTTCTAACGAAACATTATGCAGAATTTCGCGATGATATTAAGAAAAAATAATCAAGATATAGATTTTTAACATTATACTTTTCATTATACTTTCATATGTAAGGAATTTAGTGGTATTTTATTTCTCAACCATCTAAGTCAAAACATAGTACGTATTTGTATTAGATCGATATTTCCAATTATATGTAGAAATTATATACAAGTAGGTTTGAAAAGAAAAACATAGTTCTATAACCATGTGATGGTTGAGCTAACATACTGTAGATTCCTAAACATACGCGAGGAATTAATCATCGCGTAATTACGCGAGAAGCACCACTCACGAAATAAAATTACTCGCGTTTATATTTATGGGTGCTGAATTCAATGTAAAATCTCTTGATCAACCGTCCACTCGTGAATTATTGTTCTCGCGATTTGACATCAAAGAGCCATTTCGCGAAAATAAGTACTCGCGAAAAAAAGGAATCTACAGTGTTCAGAAAGAGAATATAAAATAATTGCGTCTCATTTTTTTTACAGATGAGAAAATTACACCCTATTAAGATTTCCGATTTTTTTCTCTAAATTCTTGAAAGCTCTGTTCAACACACAAGAGTTTTGCTACTGTCATGTTGTAAATTTTGAAATTATCGGGTGTCAGTAAATTCAAACAACATGACACTACTAAGTTTGCAGGAGAAAATGTAACAAGTTGCTTCGCATTAATACCCGCTTAAAATTTACCACCATTATGAAAAAAAAGAAAGAAGAATTGTTAACATACAGAAGTCTCAAGGGGAAGAATGTGCTTTAAATTAATGTAGGTTATGAGGATATAACTTTCTCCACATCTAACAGAGAACATTTGAATTAAATGTTTTATTCCGATTTGCTAAACCTGCTACTCTGACATGTTTAAATGCGTCTTTTTCTCTACGAAACTTAAGTTACAAGGTGCATTAGGTATATTTTAAGATTCTAAAGCCTTCAATAACTATTTCCAACTGTTTACCATATTTTCCTAGTAAATTTTATTTTATCATGCTAAGATTATTTATGTCGTATCATATTTTATACAACTATTGACTTTTGAATTCGGTCTAATGGTCAAGAGTAGATCGAATTCAAAAGCCAAGGACGGTTTTATTAAAAAATCAGGAATTTTACAACATTTTTGACACTTTAGTTCTTGTCTCCAAACAAATGTAAATACGCATAATATAATGTGTAGTGTAACATCACATAATACTTATATTTTAATAGCTTGATAACTGTTTAAAAGTGGAAAACAATATAATAAACAATAAATACTCAACTAATTATTAATAAACGAGTTTAGTTTCTTCGGTACTGGCGTCTGCCATGATAACTGTTTAAAAGTGGAAAACAATATAATAAACAATAAATACTCAACTAATTATTAATAAACGAGTTTAGTTTCTTCGGTACTGGCGTCTGCCATGTTTACATTCATAACAACAAAGCTTTAAAACGCGCAATTTGATTTGTCGAAATAAATGTAAGTAAATGGTTGGTCAAGAGGGAAACCTCAAATAAAACTCATGGAACATCATTTTGAGGTGAATTTACTCTGAGATACACCTAAGGAAAGGAGTCTAGACCAATCAAAAGCATCAAAATTCCAGACCATTTAATGAAAAGGGTTATAGCTGGTGGTTTACCTTTCAAAGTATGTGGGTGTACAAACTGTTCTAAACATGTTCTAGTAAATTACAGTTGAAAAAAAAATGAATTTCCTTCCTTTTATCGCCTTGTTGGAAAGTGGTACGTGATGTATATGTTTATACATATATTGAATTTATTTTTTTTAAAAATACTCCCGAAAAGACAAGCAATGAATTCATAAAAGTGATGCAAAAAAAATTCGAAAAAGGCAAATTTTAATGTTAATCTTTACAGTTGTGAAATCTAATGCATTGATTACAGGCTGCAGAATCAAGGAATTGGTTGGTGGAGAATTGGAGTTGCGTCATCTTTCAATTACCCTCTGGATTATCATTCAGCTAGCTTAAGGAGCCTGGATGGTCAACAAATTACCTAACAGCTTTAAAATGTTTTTAAAACTCGGTAATTCAAATTCAAAATTTAATAGATTCATGCGTTCTTTCTGTTAAATTTGGCTTTAGTTCCGCTCTAGACATAACATCATTTTATATAAAACTTCCTTGTCCGGGATCTAATTGTTTTTATTTATAGCTTTCCGCATTGCTATGGAAATGGGGATGTAACTCTGCATAGACACAATAGAAAATGTCGCATTTCAGTGTTCTATCCGAATTTGAAAAATCATCGGACAGGACAGAAACTAAAACATATTTTCGGGGAATTTGGTCCAATGATACACCCGGAGAATGTGATGAAGAAGTTCAAAATGAATTCATAAATGTTCCAGAAGAAAATTTGGAGGGAAGCAGTGTTACCTTCCCAAACGAAATACCGAATGATTATAATCTGACGAAGATGACCCTCTCAAATAACGTTGCTCACGACTTTGAGGATGACTCCATCATACCAAAAAACGTGGAAAAAACGTGCAAAAAATCAAGTTTCATTTGCTCTGAAAATCCACAGGAAACCGATATGACTTTCAAAAACGAAAACTATCATGGATCATCTAAAAAGACAGAACACCAAAACGATGAAAATAAAGACAAAAAAGAGTTAACAAAGAGAACTGACAAAAAAGATATAGAAAAGAAGAAAAACAAAAAAGATCCAACTTCTCACTCTGAAAACTCAAGTAAACATGCCTTTTCGAACATGGATTTAAATCAACTTGATTTTGAAACTGATGCCACTGATTTTTTCGATAGTGAAGACGAGTATTTTGAAACATACAGAAGCAATATTAAGAGCGATAGTATATTTGCTTTCCATGGAATGATTCACTCTCCTTCCACAACACCTCCGGAAAGTGGGAGATATAGTAAGATTATCTTCAATGATATAGTATCATCTATTATTCAACTAATGTGTTATAGCTCTTTATTCTTTTTACCGTCACGATAGCTAAATCGGTATGTAGCGCTCGCTCCGTGATCGGGAGGTCGTGGGTTCGAGCCCCAGCCGGAACTGATCTAAGTCGATAAAAATTAGGTAGCAACTGTCCCTTCGCCAAGCGCTCGGATCGGAAGTGAAAGTTGCGGGTCCTTCGGATTAGACCTTAAAAACGGAGGCCCGTGTCACGACAGGCGTTGGAACGTTAAAGATCCCTCACTGCTCAATGGCCCTAAGTGCCGAATAAACGTCTATATTTTGAAGCCCTTCACCGGTATATGGTGACATCTCTGTATGAGTGAAAAATTCTCGAACGAGACGTAAAGCAACTTTCAATCAATCAATCTTTATTCTTTTTTATGCCCGCAATGAATGTGGCCAGAATAAAGTGTTTGTAATGTCCATCTTCAGTCCATCATTTCATCACACTGTGTTTAGCTTATATCAAAGAAACTGTTCAAAATATTTTTATCAAAACCCATACACTATTACGTTTTGTAGAAGTTAGTCCCCGAGGGTCTCTACAGCCCAGTAGCTAAGTACTTCGGTACTAGCTTGAAAATACGGATATATATTTATTTAATTGCTGTGGTAAAATTTAGAAATTTTTTTCAAATTAAGGATTATCTCCCTCATGCATAGCTCTGATCCTTCGACGTATTTGGCTCCTGTCTTTGGCCCCACTTTTTCAGCTCTTCAAAGTTTTTTTTAATTAAAATATTTCGGATTTCCAACGATTTGGCATGAGCATCACTAAAAGATTTTTCTAATATATTTCAATGTAAAAATTTCATCTCCTGTTGTGTCTCCACTTTACCCCGGGGTCATTATTTGAACAATTTAGAATATTTACATTTGCTGTGCTTTCTGCTAAGCCAACTGTGAAATTGATTTGAAAACCATTTTTGTGTATACTCACGCTTAGAAATATACACGGAGAAACTCGCGCTAAAGTGACGTCACAATGAGGCCACAGAGACTTTAATAAAAATATGACGATAAAGAGCTGCGAGAAATTCAAACATTTGGTATATTTTTGGTGCATTTAAACATGTAAAATGCTTACGTAGGTTTTTTTTTCTTCAATTTTCTATTTTTTTTAAACAGGTAAAGGAGTATCACAATACAATAACATGCCAGTATTTGTGAATTCCTTGCAGAAATTTGCAAAAGCCAATGGATTTACTGTCCATGACGTTATGGCAGATGGAAACTGTCTTTTTAGAGCCATCGATGATCAGCTTGCTGTTAATGGAATCTTTGGCAACTCCCCTGATTCACTGCGGAAAAACGCTTTAAAGTACGCTATACGAAGCTTTTCATTGAAAAAAGTCTACATAGCAAAATACCTTCTACGTAAAAATTCACCTTTATATATAAAAAAAATCATCAATACGGATTGAGAAGATTAGTTTTTTAAGCTTTTAAATTCTCACAAGATTTTTAAAATTTGCAGGTTTCTTCGGGAAAATCCATATCAAGAAGATGGTTCGCACACGGAGTCCTTCCTTTTCACCGAGAACTGGGAACAATACTTGTTTCGAATGGAGCAAAATACGGAATGGTGTGATCACGTCATCCTTAAGGCTGCTGTGGATGCCTTGGGTCTACATGCTGTAGTCTTTAATGTATATAGGGATGACATCAGACGCACAGAAGTTCTTTGCAGAAACCCGTCTGATGGCAATATAACAGTTTATCTCGGTCATTTTGGAGAATTTCACTATCTTAGCTTAAGACCTGAAAACTGGGAGAAAGAGTGGCAATACAGTTAAGATCTGCTATTTTAAAAAGCCTATTATAAATAAAAATTCTCGGTATCATATTTTTTGGCGTAAGCTTAATAACTAGTAAGATTTTAGTATTGTATTTGTCCATCAAGAAAGGTGTACATAATGTAAATGAAACAAACCATGCAACATTTCGTGCTTTTGTTGAAAAATATGCGTTATATTTACAACAAGAGAGGCATATATAAAAACTGTGCGACGTCTTTTTTTGCATCCAAGATCTGATTTTGTTTTAATTATACATTTCATTATAGAAGCACTGATGTTCAGACAACAACTACTCACTAGACAAATTGAAAGTATCCAAAGTAACGAGAGAAACGGTTTAAAAGACTTCCACAGAATAAAATCAAACTGTGGGCTCCGAACAGAGATGAAAGGTGATCGGAAACACTCGGACCTTAAAAATTTCGGATACACAGTATGTCCAGTTTATGGTTTGAAAGACCTTGATATGGAAGAAAATGAAGGTATAATTTTAAATTATTGAAAACAATTGCTATTTCATGAGTAAAATAAGATGTTTCCCTTCTTATCTAATTGAATAATATTAAATTAAGGAGAGCATGTCAAAAAACCGATTTTGAATTCCAAGAATGTTAATGCAATCTTTAACATTGTTTAGAATCACTGCATCGTCTTGTAGAGGATCCATTTTACATTGATACACGAACAGGACTTCCACTTCAACATTTAACGTATCTCATTAAACATTTGATTCCTCCTATGATGAATCTCGTTAATTCTTATGCACTTCCGCCAATACAAAAGGACGGAATAATGTTTCAGTATATAGGATCATTCGCAACGGGAACATATGTATTCTTAAAGGATATTACTCGAGGATATACATTACGAAACAAGGTAAAAAAAGATGCTACTGTCGTTGCCTTAAGACCGCTTACATCAGCAATTTTATTCGATACAAAGGACACACATCCCGGTTACCTACGATTAAAAATTTTATCTTCGTTGCATACATTCCCAGAAAAGAGTTTGTATCGAAATGAAGACAGTGTTTTTTTAAAAAGATTAGATGCCCCTGATGAGATGTCTTTACCAGAGAGGTCAGAAAGATGTTTTACGGGGTTCTCTAGTGGTGAGTTACCTCCCGCTGTAGAAGAGTGGCGAAATAGACGAAGGAAATTCCAGTGGCCGTCACACAATGTGATAGCTGCTATTCATAATGCAGGATGTACCATAATTCCAAAACATCACCCAAAAAGCTGTAATCCGGAAATCGAGTGGAAATTCAACTTCTCCAGCTCTGAAGTAGTTATCTTTGAATGTGGTCTTACGGAAAAGCAATTGCGCGGATTTGATGTATTACAAATACTTATAGAACACAGCACATGTCATTTTGGACGTGGATTAAAATTGAAGCATACTAAGGCAATATTTTTCAACTGCTGCGAGCAGATTCCTGTTAAAGCATGGGAGACGAACTTCAGTGGGTGTATTCTTTACGCTATTGCATTTTTGTCAACTTGTCTAAGAAAAAAGAATCTGCCTCATTATTTCATTCAGTCATGCAATTTGATTGAGAACTACACGGAAGTAGATCTTGAAGCCATACTTATTCAAATAGAGGCTATACGTGTGTTTCCAGTACAGACTATACAATATCTTGCTGAAAATTATGGATACACATACGGAGCAAACCTATCAAGGTTTATTTTACAAGATTGTAGAAGATTTGCATCAAATAGAGACATACTGTCAACTTATCATGATGTCTTCGTTCCTGGAACAATCAGGACAATAAAATTTTTAACCAGACAGGGATATTACGAAGCAGCTTTTTATCTTCTCCTTGATACCTATGAGGTACATTTGTGCTCTATATATGCCAAACCTAACGATTTGAATTTCAATTTTGCAGAATTTTTCTGTAGTGCTCTCGGCGAAATTCAACAGGAAGCCACTAAGACCATTTTGGCCAAAAAATTTGAAAACAAATATGGCATGAACATCCTGAATTCCGTCATGAACACAGATGGTCTTTTTGTAAAAGATATATTACCATGGGAGGTAAATTACCATATTGCCAACCTGCATATACCAATGGAGAAAACGTCTAGTTTCGAATCAGTTGGCGAATTCTTTTACAAATTTAGTAAAACTGAGGTTAGGAGATTAAACAGTTACTTAGCAGAGCTAGGAATTTCGGAAGCAATTCAGTGTTTCGATAGAGCTATTCTAGACGGAACTATGATTGATATTGAAATTGACGACGAAGCTTTAAAAAAGGATATTCAATCTCAGAAGTCAAAAAATACGAAAAGGCTTAAAGAAAAATTAAGAGATTGCTACTTGCATACTTTCTGCATCTCAAAAATGGAAAGCAAATATCAACCGCTCGATATGTATATGCCTGCAATAGAAGAATTATGCAAAGAATTCCCAGAAATGAGTGGAGTCGTAAGTCATATGTACGGATACTTGCGACGTCCTAGTAAACAAAGGGAATATGAACAGTATTTTGATAGTTTCTTGGGGACAGGTATGTAGAAACGGCAGCTTACTTTTGTGAATCCTCGAAATATGATTTAAAAATTGTATTTTGATCCCGTGTACTCTTTTTTCATTTGTAGGTGAAGTGTACAAAGGGTCATCAAAATTGAAAAAATAGATATTGAACTATCATAGACAGATGTACGCCAGTATGGCGTGTAGGTAAACGTTCGCAATGATAAACATATGGTAGCGTATGTAATTAAAGTTTATGTACAGTGGAATTCGAAGGAAAAGACATTTTTTTCGCTTACCATGGTATTCTCAAACGCTTCCTCTTAGTGACTGGAACTAAAGTGACTGAATAGCTTGTTTGATTTTTTAATGAAATAATAACTTGTTGATAAAATATGTGATAGTATTTCAAACATCAAAATATTATCGTTCATATGAAACTATGAATGTGTCTTTTTAAATAGGTAAACGATAAGAATTTCGAAAATTGTTGTCAATTTTCATAAATTTACGTGTATCTCGACACTCGATTGATAAATTTGGAAAATCAACTTTCATTCTTAAGATTTAACAAAGAAGCAGTTTTTCCTTTTAAATTCCTTTCTTCTTGAAATATGTGTAAATAAATTTTGCATTGATAATTAATTCAATTGTGTTTGTAAATATCATATCAACAATAGCAAGGACCAAGAGACAAACTGGGTAAATCTATTTTTACCAAAGAACAAACCAATTCAGATTGGTTTGTGCTAAAGACCACCTTGCCAGACTTATTTTATGGAGTACTTTGTGAAAAGCCTTCAAATGCTATTAAGTGACCGTGAAATCTTATTTAAGGATTGATTGATTGATTGTATGCTGTTTAACGTCCCATTCGAGAATTTTTCACTCATATAGAGACGTCACCGTATGCCGGTGAAGGGCTTCAAATTTAGACATATACTCGGCACTCAGGGCCATTGAGCATCGAGGGTTCTTTATCGTGTCAACGCCTACCATAACACATGACCCCGGTTTTTAGGTCTCATCCGAAAGACCCTTGACTTTCACCTCTAGTGCCGGGTGCTTGGCGAAGGAACAGTCACTACCTATGTTTACATCTTCGAGAATCGAACCTGGGCCTCCCGATCTACATTCTAGGCAATTGTAACATAGATTTTTAAATTTCTAATAAGAATAGCATCACTGTGCTATATTCTGTTCAAGTAGGATCTTGAAAGGTTACTTTAAATCACATCAATCTATTACTATACGTACGTTAAAGAATTATAACCCTAAACTTTTCCTAAGCAAATTACTGGTAGCAGACTGGACCTCAAGTTTTTTCTACATGTGTCAATCAAGCATAGAGGGCTTTTCAACAAACTTTTAAAACAGTTTCTGATGAAATTAAGTAGCACATGTCCAAGAAGTTAGACTAAAACAATAAACTGAACCGTGGATAACATCATCCATCCTCGAAAAGATTTAAGAAAGAGGTTCATTATTATATACATATAGAAAATCAAAACAGGGAGAATTTTACAAAGCTACTACAGAATCAGAAATGAGTTGCAAAGAACAGAATATTTTCTAGTTATATTGAAGAAAATAAGACCAACCGAAAAAAACTGTGGAAGGGTCCAAAAAGACCTTGCTTTTAAAAATAAACGTCAGGACAGTAGGGACGTCTCTTTAAGGAGGTTGGATCCTGCCATCAAAAGTAATGGGAATTTTTTATCAAGTATATTTTCAGAATTTATACACATAGCTTTATTAAAAATCAAAACAAAAAATGGGGGTCAATGCGATTCTTTTGGTGCTACAGAGCATTAAGTTTGACCTTTTTGCACTGTAAATACGTCTTACACATAAATCAATTTTTAAAGCTTTTTCCTCCAATATTTTTTATTCAAATAAATTATGGGAACAAACACAGTCTTATTTCATCTTGAATAGACACATTAAAATTTGTGACAAAGAAAAAAAAATCAAATTACTCCGCATGTTCAATTATTTAACCTTTTTGTACTCAAAAAATTTCATTTTTCTGGTATAAAAAATTTAACAAGCAAAAATATCATTTGAAAGTAAAGACATTTTACTGAATTTAAGAAGAATGGTTAAAAGTATCTTATATATTCAGAAAAGAAAATAAAAAGTGGGAGTCTGTGATGTTAATTTTTAGATTTTACTAAAATAGTGCTAATTTTAAGCTTAAAATAGGGAATTTTTTTTTTGATTTTCACAATATGTTTGCTACATTTATCAAATATGATGATAGAATTCATGACAGTTTATTTAATACTTAATTTAGGACCAGTATAAAACAGTTCACTGCACAAAATAACTCTGTGTGCAGACTGCATGTAAAAATAGGAATCCAAACTAAACAAACTTTAAATACTTCGAAAGAGAAAAAAATGATCATTTCCTTCTAAAAAAAAAAAAAACCTTCCGCCACACAATATAGTTCCTCACTTTATGCTTTTGGTATGGAATTTAATCATTGAGTTTTAACTGAATATAGTTTAATTAGAATTGTAGAATCCAAAATTATCGATAGAATTAAAACTTTATGCAGAATTTTTGAAATATAGGTTAAGATATAAATCTGCTCAAAAGCTCAGGAGCGAACCTCGTTAAAAGTTGATTGTGAAATTTGTCCCGAGCCAAAATCTGATTTTTGTAAATATTGCAGCTTCACTTGTAATCTAAACTCCCTAAATCTTTAAATATTCTAGTGTGGATAGTTTACGTTTTAAATCATTTCATTCCGAAAATGATAGTCTTTTTACTCTGAAAACGGTTACTGAAAGTTTTGTACGCGAAGCTTCTAAAACTTAACCCATCTAAAAGTACGGGTCTTGATGATATTCCTTTCAGGATCATAAGTGCTGGAGCAAAAATTTTCTTAAAATTCCTATAACATATATTATAATTTTATTTATTTTTTCTTCTATTTTTCCTGAAGATATGAAATAAGCAAGCGTTAAACCTATATATAAAAAGAACAGTTCACTATAAGCAGGCCATTATAAACCAGATTCTCAGCTTTGTTTCAAAAATTTAAGAGAGATCTGTTCATATGCAACTTGCAAAATTTTTAGATTGTAGTGATATTTTATATGAGTTTCAATCTTGTTTTAGAAGAAATTACTCCGATGAAACTTGTTTGATACATTTATTAAATTTAATTAAAGATAATACTGCAAAGGGTTTATATACTCTAATGGTTATGCTTGATCAGCAAAAGGCATTTGACTAAGTAAACCATGTTATACTTTGTATATAAAAAAAAAAATAATAATAAAAAAAAAAATTAAAAAAAATCAAAGCAATTGCTGTTCAACCGGGATTTTTTTTTCATATTTGTCTGAAAGAAAAAAGTATGTTCGCAATAATGGAATTTCATGAGATGCTGGCATTACATGTATCACAAATGGTGTAGCCTAGGGCAACATTCTAGGTCCTCTTTTATTTTTTATATACGTCATTGACATTTTAATTAGTGTTTATGCAGACTGTAAACTTATTTTGATGACAGTGTTATTTTTTTGCACATAAAGATCCAGATTTTATATCAGAAAAGCTCAGTAAAGTTTTAGATCAGACTTCGCACTGGCTTGTAGATAATAAATTATCGTTACATTTAGGCAAAACTGAATACAATTTATTTGGTTTCAAAATGTTCAAAATTTCCAGGTTGTATATACTGATCATCACATTGAATGTAAAGAAAAAAATAAATATCTTTCACTTGTGATTAACAACTTTTTAAGTGGTGAATGCATTGTTGAAGCATTTCACCGTAGCTAACCCACATACTCAAAATAGCGGAAGTCCTTGCGTATAGAAGCGTGTAAACAAACTGAGAGAAAAAAAGGTACCTGTTTAATTGCAAGATAAGCATAAATATTGACACACAGAGATGATGAATTAGTGAAATTATCATTCAGTATATCCCTCTGAATAAGGGTCAGCTGTTTGTTTTAAATTTGTATGAATTTGTAAGTAGAAACGAAATCGTTTGCTCACATACTTACACATGCATGTATTGTTTGAACTTTATAGTCCACAAGAGATATAATTATTTCCCGAAATGGTACCTATTGGATATTGAAATACAGAAAAATGTCATGTATGTTTTTGAGTTCTATATCTAAATGTTGAGATTTGAAATTACACAGTAAAAGATACATCTGTCATTGAAATCACTGTATGCGTCGTTTCAAACGAGATTATTCGAATTGTATTGTTCGTTCCAAAAATAAAAAGCGCATTGTATTGACATGTAATTCAACAAACAAGAGATTCACAATTAAGTCTTGACGGTCACACGAGTAACAAAGTCCATACATACAATTAACTTCACAGTCAGGGATTTTCATACTTCATTTAAACTTAATTTTTGCATCTAAATTTGAAAGATGTCTACGGCTTTTTTTCTGTGGGGTTATTATTCGTCTCTACACGGTCTAACTTGTGAAAATTTTATTGATGCAGGTATCTTTTTTTCAATCAATCAGAAAGGCCTAATTCTCATCAATCTAATAAATATTAAATGATAAATGTGTAAAAACGGAATTCCTGTGAGAGGATCGATGTGCGTTCTAATCTCTAATAGACGTCGGGGAGACTTTGAAGTAAGATATTCATATATCAAAATATTTTAGTTTGTGTAGATATGGAATAAGGAGGCATAAATAAAAATATATATACTAGAAATTTGTTAAGAACGTAACTTTGTTCGATTCATTTACATTATAAAGGTAAATCAGTTTGAATAGCGTATAAAATTCCGAATTGTTTTCTCAGGACCTGAGAATCCATGATATTCTTATTTAATTTATTGAATAATGCTTTATACCTTTACTTTCTTCTAAATACAGATCGTCTAAACAGTTTGATTGGAAGGTTACTGTACTTTTGCTGCTATCATTGCTTTTCTAGATCTCTCCTTTGTTTCCTCCCCATTTTTTTTTCACGTATGCTATGTAAAGCAAACCCAGCAACATTCGTTCAATGTGGTTTCGTGTATGATTTTTTTGTCGCCCATGCCTTTAGATTTTTTTATTAAAGATATTAATTTCTGACTTGGGAACTGTCTTTAGACCAAGCTAGGATCCTTAGTATCAAAGCTTCTAAAATAAATAAAAGCAATGTAAATGTCTACAATTAATATGAAAATGATTAATATCAAATTCAATTGTTTAACAGAGCAGAACACTACTAAGCAATATCACTATGCCTCTGCAATTGTTTGGACGCAAACTCGTTAATGAAACTCCCGGGGTGCCCAAGTAAGATTGTCAGATATTTCTGATCATGCTTATTTATTTTTTCGTTGATTTTATCCGGCAAATGACATCTTGGTAGACGTTAATGACGACTATTTTAAGGAATATCACATCAGCTACAGCGTATAAAATAATGCAGTCGTTCCATTCACCAGACCTCGACAATCTCATCAGATATTCTTCCCATGTTTCCTCTGATAAACAGGAAGAGGGATGGCCTTTGTATTCATTGAAAGGAAACTGTCTCAGATACATAATAATAATCAAGTATCAAAAACAACTTGAACTTGACACCCTGAAAGTAAACTAACCATAGATATGAACATGCATCTTCTAATAGAACAGACCGTTCACGGTAGCTCAGTCGGTAGAGCGCTCGCTCCGTGATCGGGAGGTCGTGAGTTCGAATCTCGGCCGCGACAGACCTAAGTCGATAAAAATAGGTAGCAACTGTTCCTTCGCCATGCGCTCGGCACTTTGAAGTGAAAGTTGCGGGTCCTTCGGATGAGACCTTAAAAACCGAGGCCCCGTGTGATGGCAGGCGTTGGCACGATAAAGATCCCTCACTGCTCAATGGCCCTGAGTGCCGAGTAAAGGTCAAAATTTGAAGCCCTTCACCGGTATATGGTGACGTCTCTATATGAGTGAAAAATTCTCGAATGGGACGTAAAACAATATACAATCAATCAATCAATCTAATAGAACATTTTTTTAAATAATCCTTTTACTAGATATGAGCATATGTACATGGTTTAAAAAATACATGCCATTGATGAGTAGCTATTTGATACCGCAAATACTTTCCTCTTTTGAATTCTAAATGGAATGGTGGCCTCATTAGTTTTTGTTTTAATTTATACCAAAACTTACTGTATTGAAGCGTGTCGAGAGACTCTGCTGAATGTCCAAGGCATCCATTAATGAGCAAATGATCAGCGACAGCACGAAACATACAGTTTCCATCGGCAACGACGCCTTTCAGTTCAAAATTGTGTATTAATGAAAAACATTAAAACTATAATCCAGAAAATTCAGAGTAGAAATGGAGAAAGTAAAACTAATTCACCAGTATTGTCAGTCCGTGCTCAGTGATGCATGCAGAGTAAATAAATTAATCACACCCTGTAAAAGTGAGCATTAACAACAAGAAGTCTGTGAGACAATGCTCACAAGTAGTACCCCCGCTCTGATGTGAATATACAATCTCATGAATCTTACCATATGACATGCCTACACAGAAAGTGTGCTAAATTTTCAAGCATCTGCGATGAGTAGTTGCTGAGAAAATTGCGTACAGACAGACACACAAATATACAGGAAGTTGATATTGGATTTGTTCAGAAATAAATTCCACCATATGGTTTGCCTAAACAAAGACTGTGCTAAAATTTCAAGCATCTGCGATGAGTAATTCCTGAGAAAACTGAGACGAAAATTGGTTATGGATGGACACACAGACAGACAGTATCGTGTCCATGTTTACTAACACATATGTTTGACGTGATGTTATGAAGAAAGTCGTTGTCATCGAATTTCAGGAATTTCCAGTTCAATTCATTAAACTTAAGTTATTTTTTAATTGAAATTTCTTTTTTTAAATTGTAAAAATTGCAAGTTTGCAAGTTGCAAGTTTCGTTATGACATCAATATTTTGCTAGTTTCACATTTTCTATCACATGTTCTATTATAATACGTTCAGGTTAAGGATAAAGTACCCTAAATACATATTCGTGTCTCGATCGATCCGAATTTGTTAAATAGCGGACAGGACTCCATCCTTTCATTTCTCTCTTTTTCTTGAAATTTTAAAACTGCTGTTAAAAATGCTTTCAAAAATGCAAGAGGATTTTAATGGCAATTCGCATTAGCTAACATCTTCTTTTTTTCAAAAGTACGAGTCCCTTTTGGCCGAAATTGAAATTAAAAAAAGAATCTTATCACTGCCTGCAAAATGCAGTTGATCCAACAAGAACAACGCGCTTTAAACTGATGTACATGTACATAACAAGAAAATAACTTTCTCAACAACATCAAGCAAAAACATTTCAATTTTTTTATTCCTTCTTTGTCTATTCGACCTGCTACTCTGACTATTCGTTATTAAAGGCATGTAGTATATGTCGACTAAAAAAGACATAACAGGGTAGTCTTTTTTTACTGATTCTTTTAAGACTAACAAATTTAAAGTAGAGACAATTGGGGTTCTTGATGCACATAAAAAGCTATTACTCAGTGTATAGCGCCTCTAAACATTTATTACATTTTCTTTGAAAATGTATATTTTTCCAACGGAAAGATGTTTATCATTATCTTCCCAAGTTTAAAGCTTGTAATATCTACCAGATTATTAGGACGAACGAAAATGTTCTAAAAATATTTGAGAATATCCTGAAATGATTGAATATGGAAAATTTGAACTTCCTTGCTTTTGTCACCATGTAAGGAAACGTGATATTCATTTTCAGACACCTGTTGAATTTATGCAAATCCTACCGAAAAACAAGGACGAAATTCTAAAAAAAAAAAAAAGTATTAATTTGAAATAAATTCATCAAAGACAATTTTCAATGATTAACCTTTTGTAAAAAAAAAAAAAAAAAAAAAAAAAAAAAAAAAAAAAAAACAACTTCATTTTCTAGGAACTAATTGCTTCATATTGCTTCCCTCACTATTATATATGTAATAATTGTGATTCTGCAAAGACACAATAAAACATGTCGCAATTTAATATTCTAGTCATCGAACAGGAGGGAAACTAAAAAATATTTTCGAGGAATCTGGTCCAATGATAGACCTGAAGAATGTGAAAAAGAAATTCAAAATGAGTTTATTATAAATGGACGAGAAGAAAATTCGCAGGGAAGCAATATTACCTTCCCAAACAAAGAACAGAACTATCAGGATCCGATGAAGATGACCCTCTCAAATAAAGTTGCCGAAGAAAACTCCACGTCCATCATTCCAAATAATGTGGACGTACAATCGAGCTCCATTTGCTTTGGAAATTCAGAAGAAACTGATTTGACTTCCAAGATTGAAATCAGTCATGGATCATTTAATACTCACTCAGACGAATTTGATTTCGAAGACGCTGAAAATAAATAGAAAAAAAGAAATAGAGAAAAGAACAAACAAAAAAGAGATAGAAGAGAAAGACAAAACATCTTCCTTTTCTCACTCTGAAAACCCAGGTAAACAGAATTTCTCGAACACGGAATTCAATCTATATGATTCTGAAACTGATGCAACTGATTATTTCGACAGTGAAGACGAGTACTTTGAAACATACAGAAACAACTTTGAGGAAAGTTCTATGTTTACTTTCCATGGAATGATTCACTCTCCTTCCACAGCCTCTGCACAAATTGGAAGATACAGTAAGATAATCTTCAATGGCATAGTTTTAATTATCATTCAACTAAAGTGTTATTGATTCATTGCTTTCTTTATTTTTAAAAACTCGATTGTTAGTCATAACTAATATTATAGTTTATTTAAGATTAATCTTGAATGCTCTGTCATATCTTCTGTCGCAGCTCGCTATGTATAACACAGAATAGTAATCTGGTTAAATGTAGTACTACTTTATATATATATATATATATATATATATATATATATATATATATATATATATATATATATATATATATATATATATATATATATATATATATATATATATATATATATATATATATATAGAAAATATATTCGAGAAGTAGGGTTAATCAGATGTGTATACTTAAAAACTCCAAGGAACTTTTAGAAAATTTGAAATCACAAAATTTTACCAAAACAAATAACATTAAAATGTACGACTTTTCAACACTTTATACAACCAATCCCCACCATAAATTAAAACCCAAGCTTTTTGACATCATAGACAGCTGCTTTTTCAATAAAATAAAACTCGTAAATTTACTTACCTTGTCATTGGTCATTTGCAATTTTTTTTGTTAAAAACATTCTGATTGTACACACAAGTACTCTGAAATTGATATTAAAAAGATGCTGGAGTTTCTGATTGAGAATATTTATGTAGTTTTTGGAGATCAGGTCTTCCAACAATCTGTCGGAATTCCCATGGGTACAAATTCAGCCTTGTTATTAGCAGACCTAATTTTGTATTCATTTGAAGCTGACTTTATTCAAATAGTATTCATGAGAATAAAAAGAAACCACTTTCAATTGCCTTCAACTCGACATTTAGATATATCGACGACGTATTGTCAATTAACAATAGTTACTTACATTCGTTTCTCGACTCCGTGTAAATTTAAAATAAAAGATACCACAGACTCTGACACATCTGTTTCATATTTTGATATTTTACTAGAAAAAGACGTGAATGGTAACCTTACAACAAAACTGCACGATAAACGTGATGACTTTAACATTTCTTTCGTCAAATTCCCTTATGTAGCAATATACTCTTATCACCTGCATATGGAGTTTGTGTCTCCCAGTTGATTCGATACGCAAGTGCATGTTCTACGTACGAACAATTTCTAAAACGAGGCAATCTATTGACAAACAAGTTGATGAAACAAGAATATCAACAATCTCGTTTGAAGTCATCATTTTGCAAGTTCTCTAGTCGATTAAATGGCCTTGTCAAAAAATACAATCTATCAGTAAATCGTGTTATGACTGACTCTTTCATGCTAATTGTTAGGCCATTATTTACACACTGAATTGTCTATTGATTTTCAGTTTGCCCGATCATGACAAGGAGCACACGACAGGTGTGCCTGGTCGAAAGGGGGTGCTTACTCCTTCTGATCCCACCTCTGATGTTTTAAGAGGTCTGTGTTTGCTTTGTTCCCGATTTGTATTGTTGC